CCCCCGCGCCTGTCCGCGGCGGCCCTTTTTGCGGCCCCCGCGCCCACGCGCGTGCCGCTCCGTCTGCACTTCGCCTGCGACGCCGCGGGGCGCGCCGTCGGCCGCGGCCGCGCCGTGGCCGTCGTCCTGCAGGGCGCGTTCACGGCCGCGCGCACGTACGACCCCCTGGCCGCCGCGCTCGCGCGCCGCGGCCTCGTCGTCGCCGTGCTGCAGTACGCCGCGCGCGACTTGGCCACCATCTTGAAGGACGTGCCCGCCCTGCAGGGCCACTTCAGGAGAGCGAGCCGCAACGGCTGCCCGAGCATCCTCCCGTTTCCGTCCGCCGCTGTCGCCGCCAGGTAAGCGAGCGCGCCCCGTTCGCGAGCGCGGGCGTGGGACGTGTGAGGGCCCGCGGAACTGACGTAGGTGCGTGTGTATGTGTGTGTGTGTGTGTTGCAGCGCAATGCGGTACCTGCGGAACGGCACGGTGCGCGCAGACGTGCGGTCAACGTTGGACGTGCGGCGAACGATACTGATAGGGCACTCCGCGGGCGGGGTGGCGGCGTCGCTGCTAGCGTCGTCCGCGTGCGCGATGGAGACAGAAGACATACAGACGGTGCTTGCATGCGAGGGGATTGCGCAGGTGCCGCGGAGGACGCGAGTGGTGGGGGTGGTGACATACGAGGGGCACACGGCGGAGACTGCGGCGGTGGTGCGGGCGGGGGTGCCGGTAGTGACGGTGAGCTCGCGGTTCTACTACGCGCGCGGGGCGGAGCTTGTGGGACGGGGCAGCTTTGGGGGGAGACTGGCTAGGGTGCGCGTAGGGGGCGCGAACCACTTCGGCTTGAATGGGTTTGTGAACAAGAGGCAGCAGCCCGTCTGTGCGGTGGAGCGGACGGGCGAGGAGGCGGGGTTTAGGACGACAGCGGGCAGGCAGAAGAGGGCTGTAATTTCCGTGGCGGCCGTGGTAGTGGCGGGTTTGGATGGTTTCGAAGGGAAGGGGTTTGGGAGGCTGGAGCGGCTGGTGGGGATGGAGAGATTGGCGGTGAGGGAGGCGGTGGTTCAGTAGTTGTTTGTGGGGGGGAGGGGGGGCCTCGCGAGGGAATGTATTGGTGGGGGGGGGGGGGGGGGGTTGGACCAGGGAGAGGATGTCGAGCGCGGGTGACGGATGTCGAGCGCGGGTGACGGATGTCGAGCGCGGGTGACGCGGGTGGCGAGGTACACCTGATCACAGCAATTAACCTTGGTCTATATATTAACCTGGGTTCAGAAATAAACTGGACCAGGTTATTATTGGTTTTGACCTGGAGGAAACAGTCTTATGATAAGTCGCCTTTAGAGTTCAAAAAGGGCGAGAACGCATGTCGCCGCCTCGATATGGTCTTTGGGCGGAGAAGCAGCTCTTTTCTGAGCTGCAGACAATAATATCCAAGCATCGTGTCCATTTCAATGGGCAAGAAGTAGAGCCGTAATTTCTTGAATACTTGTCAGCAATGTTAGAAATCAAGGTTAATCCAGTGGTTCACAAATAAACTGGACCATGTTATATCTGATTTGACCATATATTAATCTGGGTTCACAATTAATCCGGACCATGTTAAATATGTATGGTTATAGACCTGAAAAAGGGGCCTCAGAATTAGGTTGGCTCAGGTTAATTGCTGTCATCAGTGTGTAGTCGTGTAGAAGGGCGATATTTTTATGTGACTGAACTGCGATATAAATAACGCAACGATGCAGTCCCGCGAGCGAGCACAAGAATCGGATTAAACAAGTCGCAGTAATCCGGTAACACGGCATTCTCACCACGACATGCCTCACCGCGTGTTGCATTGGAAACCCACGCGCCGCCGTTGAAGCGGCCTTTCCAGCACACTGGCGGCCGCTCCAGCGCGCGCCCTCCGCGTTGCCACCGCAGGCACGCGTCGGCTCTCATTCGCGCACCCGCTGCGCGCGCCCCGCCAGCTGCGCTCCCCCCCTCCCTCCTGACGTGGCGGGCCGCTCCACCCACCCCGCATCTAATATTGGAAACACACCCAGCACACCGCTCGCGCGACCCCGCCCCCGGCCCCCTCCGGCTCCGACAACAAAACCGGTATTGGTGCGGCACGTGCCCCCCCTCCCCCCCTGTCCCCCCTGCCAAGATAGGCATATCATAGGGCCTTTGGCCATGAGGTGGCGAAAGCCATTTCGTCCAATAAGAACGCTCCGGACCGCCGCCGTCCATACTTGGACGGCTGGCATTGGGCGACGAATGTAGTCGGACCAAAGGGAGAATTTTGTATGCGCACCATCGTAGATTTAACTATTAATTAGTAATCTACACTCGACGGCGGCGGGGTATCGCGCCCACCAGTCTCGGACTGGATGACATAAAGTTGTGTGACCCGGGGCAGCTCGCCCCCTCACACAGGGGAGGAACCAACTCTCGATCACGTTTATTGCTCACCTCGTTCACCCCCCTGTCCCCAGCCCCAGCCCCCCGCTGCCACGCTTCTTCTCGCTGTGGCCAAGGGTTTCGTCCCGCAAACGCAGAGATCGCAGCATTTCGTACTGCATGGCGACACGAGCGCGCGAAGCAACGGGGGTTGCGTTGTGCCATGCTTGCTGTTGTGCCGGTCGCATGATATATTCATGACATCACCATCAAAAAAAGAAGCGACGTATGAAAAAGATGGCGGGCCGCCTCATTTACACAAGTTAAAAGACGACTTTTTCGCTGCCCGCAGGCCAGCAGGACGCACTGGCAAACGCTGCAGTGTCAGTGCACGACTCGCTCGACGTGTCGCAACCTCACACGCCCGCTCTCGCCATCGCGCCATCCGTTGCCGCTTCTCGGCGACTCCCTACTATTTACCTTTAGTACATCCGGAGTGCACGAACCGTTATTTATTGCTCCCTTTTTCCTGTACATAAAATACACCTGTGATACACCTATTACGTATCTTTTACGTAATGCATTACGTCTTTCGTCTCCCTCACTCCATTTTGCTTTCATGCCCCTCCGATGCCCACTTTAATAAATATGTCCTGTATTGGGCAGTCTGCAGAACCGTAACCTCGCGTTCAACTCCATTAATTGGAGAGTACCCTCACTCACTCTTTTTCTCTTCCACCTCACCTCCTCGTTGTTCCCCTCACATCAGTACCATCTTTTACCCTTCGTCAGCTTGTCCGTAAAATTCAACAAGGTCCAACAGTAAAACCTACAAACATTCTACCTCATACGGCGCGAAACCAAAACAATCTTATATTAAAAAAACCCTCATCCATAATTCCGTATCCCCCCCACACCCCTTCGCCCACGCACCGTCCTGCCTCGCTTCTCGTGAGTATATAAAAAAAGGAAACTCTCTGCCACCCTTCTCCTTCCTATTCCCATGTCACCTCAAGCCTCCTTTCCACTTCCACCCCTCCCAAACTGCACTATGGAAACCTCATTTTTCTACGAACCTATCATCGCCATTTTCCTCATTCTTCCAGTCCTCTACATCACCTACACAGCCTCCTTTCCATCACTTCCAGGCCCTGGTCTCCTCGAATACCTTCCTGGAGGCATCATATTTCCACTATGGACAAACTCTGCTGTCTTCAGTCGCATTATGGTCAAGTTGGGTAAAGCCTATGGTGACATATTCTCCCTCTGGCTCGGCCCCGCACATGTCATCGTCACGTCTATCCCTGCAGATGTCGTCCAGGTCATGCATGCTGTCGACGATTTTGACAGGCCCCGTGAGATCAAGGCTGTCTTCGAAGCTGTCGCCCCTGGCGGTGTCTTTTCAATGCCCGTTGCCCCGCATCGCCACATCAAGAAAGTCCTCCGCTCTCGCTTTAACCACACCATGCTCAAGGGCTTCCACACCCACATGACCGAGGCTATTGTGGAGCTCTGCGAGTGTCTCCACACTGCTGTTGATCAAGGCTCCGAGCCCGGCTCCTCCGATGTCGTCAACATCTCTGAAATCACCTCGCTCACCACTTTTCGAGTTATCACCAATGTCGCCTTTGGGAGCAATATGACTAAGCCGGAGCGACTGGATTTCTCTGAATCCATGACCAAGATCATGCCGGAAATGATGAAGGACTATGTCGGATACCCCGTCCGACAGGCCCTCACCATGTTCGGCACTCGCAAGAAGCTCCTGCATCACAAGGCTAAGATCAAGGAAACCTGCGACCGGTTTATTGAGAAACGCCAGGCAGAGACAGAAGAGCAGAGAAACGCACGGGAACCCGACATGCTGGATACCATCCTCAGTCTCAAAGAGCACCCTATGGACGTCATTCGGTCCATCGCCGCAGAGTTTGGCGTTGGTGGATCCCATACTTCAAACCAAATGCTCACGTGGTGTCTCTTCGAGACTTGCTGCAATCCCCGTGTGATCGCCAAGATCGAGCTGGAACTTGAGGCCGTTCTGGGAGACCGCTCGGGCGACGATCCCATGTCGTTTGAGGACCTCGGTAAGCTTCCTTACATGAAGAAAGTGTGGAAGGAGACTTGTCGCATGCATCCTATGGGTCCCTTCTTGAACCGAATTACCACGAAAGACCTCACCCTCAAAGGCAGTGGAGTGCGTGTCACCAAAGGCACGAACGTGCTCGCGTTTTATCAAAAGTGCCAAATGGATCCCGCCATCTGGAAGGACCCGCACAAGTTCAAACCGGAGCGATGGGGGACCGGAAGTGAAAGGAAGGAAGGTGACCTAGTTGTGCCAGGTGCGTACGTCCCCTTTGGCATTGGGACTTTCAGTTGCCCCGGACGATTTCTGGCAGACTACGAGGGACCGTTGATATTAGCAGAAATGCATCGACGTTTCAAGTTTACGCTCGCCTGTAGACCAGATGAAGTTGAAAGCTGCACAGCATTTGTAGAGAGTCCGCGATACATCAACAAAGCGAAGAATATTGATATGGGACTGCCCCTTCGGATAGAGCGACGAGTGTGATGTGTGTTTTTGTGAACAGTGTAGATATTTTAATTAGTGGTTGTAATGAAAAGTGCTCGGTCTCAAAAAAGTATTGATCTTCTTCCATGATACATCTGGAACTGCTAAATATTCTGTGAGGAAATCATTTTAATGATTTTAATAAAAATGTCCAAAGGGCGCCTAACATTAGACGTCTTCAACAAACACTACTGTTAACAGTAGTGTTTGTTGAAGACGAGTTTGAATCCTCACTAGTTGGTATCATTGTCCTTCATGCATCAAGCCTGAAGCACGTGCCTTCACCACTCCACATTAACATTTTGCGGGTACATACGTAACTACTGTTCTTGGTATGGACACTGAATTCAATTCAGTCCACAAATCACTACTGTAGTGACTGTGCAGTTGGTCAGCATTAAGTGCTTCATCCCCATCTTTGTTGCTTGCAACATTGTTCAATCAATACTATGCTGGAAGATCTTGGCACAAAGATCTTCCAGCACAATTACAGTGTTATTTTCTGGATGCACCCATTATTGGGTGCATCCAGAAAATAGCACTCTAACACTTTACCATTGTATGATAGTTTCAAAAATATTGTTGCACAAAGATCTTCCAGCATACTATTGTTGTGACAATGTGTTGATCCAAAGTTGGTATGGCGCAAACGCGCATTTATGAAACGGTGCCTTTCATGAAGAGCTGGACACTAACTACTATTTTCACGACAGATGGGCAGTAGCCAATAAGGCGCTATTTACTCAGTAGGAAATAAAGGCGCCGTCGCCTCCGCCACGATCCGTGGTCGGAGGCATCAGACCAGTTCTTGGCATCACATTTTTTAAACGACTCGGAGAATTAGAATGAAATACAGTACCCAAGGGTACTGTCCCGTACTGTACAATAACCACTGGTTAACACCTACATACAGTACAGGGGGGGGGGTCACTCAATAGTGCCTACTTTAGTAGTGCTTCCCTCTATATAGTGCTATGGCTCACCCTCTGGCACAGGTTATCATAAGCTCACACGTGTATCATCCGGCATGGTTCAGTACTCAAAGGATGAAGTTATTTAGTTGTGTTCTACAGGCTTTGTTGTGTTTGTGTTAGCAATGTGCTTTGTCCCCAAATATATGTATGTATTTGAGCCTCCTTTATATAGTGCCATCCCTCCAATAGTGCCATAGCTAGAGGTATGTCACGCTATAGCACTATATCGTAGGAGGCACTGTATGTATATTCGTCCCCCCTCCCCCCACCCCACTCCCCACTCCCCACTCCGTCGGTCCACTCTCCCCACTCCCCACTCCGTCGGTCCACTCGGCACCGAGGGCGCAGACATGATGCTGTTAATGCTGTTAACAGCAACAGCATGTCTGCGAGGGCTGTTAACATTAACAGCCCTTGCACTAAGAAATGGCAGGCTGCATGTAACCATGCTGATTTGTTTAAAATAGACGGCTCTCGATCAGGATGCAGAGCAACAAGATTTCCGCAAGCCTTGACAGCAGCACAATATCATGTATTGTTTACAATAAAAACGACCATCTTGAGAGATGTGAGATTACAGTACATTACCTCAAATCTCTCAAGATCGTCGCTGGGAGTTTGTTGTCATAAACTAAGCACGAATCATTACTTCATACTGTAAATATTTTGCAGGAGGTTCACTCATGAGTCCGTCGCCTCCGACTCCTTCGTGTGGCGAAGGGCCCAATGGAGACGAACTACAGAGTAGAATTGAGCGGCCAGCAAACGATGCAAAGGGTCGTGAAGCTCTTCGCACTGGCAATTGACTGCGAAACTCGATACCGTCATGGAAACAACTGTAATCCCCATTGGCCACATCAAGCCGTCATGCAACGTCCAAGGTAATTTACTCTTCCTTGCTTTTTCGCAATGGTTCACCCCAGATGACGCCAACTTGTACAACAGTATTATACGGTTGGTTCTCGAGTAGACCAAACTCTTCAACGAGGCTAGTGCGCAATCCAAAGTAGAAATGAAGGTTTTTGTTGTTTATAAACCGTACTTGTCATTCATGACAGCGATGGCTTGAAGCTGTGCCACTTTCGGAGCACTGCGCCATCATTTCCGGAAAGCAACTTGATGTGTACAGTATTCATTCTATGACTGTATTTTTTAACCTAAACATTCGAGTTTTTTGGAGGTGTTGTTGATCCTGACAACCGTGATACACATGAGGTCTTGAGTGTGTGCGATCAGCTTTGGTTTTCCATTCAAAGGACGAGGAGGACATGTACGGCACCACAGGATCAGGACATAGTGACGTTGTTCACTTCGCAGGCGGTCTGCAAGGAACTTGATGTGGCTTGCGAGCTCTCGCAAGAGTTGCCAGACGAAGTTGCGGATTCGTTAGAGAAGACGACTAGATTATATGCTGTACGTATGTTGTGTAGGTCGTGGTAAATGATTTTAGGATTGCCTCTCAACCCGTACGAACCAAGTTTCCTCTTTACCTTCGTAACGTTCATCCCGACTCTGTAAACGATGGTGTGCGGGTGAAGGCAAGATGAACATCAGGAACTGAGGATGAAATGTGATTTGTTTGGGCCTTGAGCCGTAGTCTAGCAAAACGTTGAGCCGCCATCATATCGGGCATCTGGACGTTCCCCTCCGGCACTGTATGCCCCTTCGAGTTTTCTTTCTCTTGAGTGGCACTATAGTTAACATTTATGGGCAGTCGGTATACCTGAAGAGACATTCTATCGAGGCCGAGGACTACGGAATAACGAGCACACTGAACTATATAATGACAAGGTGTGGTGTGTCGCACTGCTGAATGAGGGGGGTTAGAACTGTGTAGGATGTGTGCGAAGGATCGGTCGCGGCTGTATTGACTTTGAGACAAAGTGGCTTCAGACGAGGTTGCTTTTGAAGTTGTTTTATGCCCTTGCACTTGCTCGATACGACGAGTAACCCTTACCTCATGAACTGAGTTTTGCACCGGCACAGGATACCGCCCAGTGAGAAGTGGCATATTTGCCAATATTTGCATTAACGAAATATTTTATTTATTTTTTTGTTGTTCCTAATCGCAGCATCCAATACTGTACTTACAGTACAGCAGTCCACCACACGTGTATGACAGTTGGACAGGTGGTGGTCGTGTCAGATGTGTACACATGTGCTTGTGTTCAGGAAAAGCATTTGTTCACTACGACACGAATTGGTTCCCGTCACCGCTGCGAATGGTGAAAAAGCACTGTACACACCGCTACATCAGCTTGAATAGCATCATGTCAGGTCCATATTCGACATTTCTCGTCTAAACGGAAGAGATGCGGCACCGTGCAGGTGCCTGTATACTCAACTGTAGATGCAGACTGTCTTCAATAATGCACAGCGCTTCACTGCAGAAAAGGATGTCTACCAGTGAATCATGCGTGGCATTGAAGGCAGTTGCGGCACATTAGCCACAACAAGATGCTTACAACAAAGCCTGCGTGGTTTCTGCCAGCTGCTAAATCCGCACAATTTATGCTGACCCTCCTGCTCATACCAGATCAAAAAGTTCCGAGGGCAGTGCTCCACTCAGTTGTCTGTCTCATTATCTGCAATGCTAACATTTCCCCTCACTGCTGGTCCAATCTCATGGTACGCGCGTTGCACATGCTAATCATCATCGTTGTCTTGTTGTCTATCCATGCTATGCCATGCCATGCCTTGCCCTGCCATGCCTTGCCCTGCCCTGTCTTGCCTTACGTGCGCATACGCGTCTCGGACATACATCAAGAAAGAAGACGACCTCCAACAAGTCAGCAACGTCGTTTCTACGATCCTTCTTTCTATAAAGCTGAGGGCCCATGCACGTCGCCCTGGCTACATACCAGTAATGTTTACTGGTTAGACGGCAAGTGACTCCAGCAGTAACCCTTTATTTTCTTAGCGAAATCAGGCACAAGGCGTCAAGGAATGAAGCCTCTTTCATCACGGGACGCAGTGGAGGCTCTGACAATGCGAGGCGGGGAGGAGAATGGTCCTATCTGCTTTATCTCCGTCAGCAAAGATGCGCCTCGCGTCTTTTTTTCCACTCTGGCCGCCCAACGCACAGGAGAACGCTGTTAGAAGACTTTCTATCCTGCGCTTACACCGTGGCGTCGACGAGGACGCAGAATTGGATCTGACATCTCTTTCTCTGTATTGATGACACGGCACCGAACTACGTGTAGATTATGTCGTTCGGGTGCTTTTCATGTTGAAAAACGCAGAGGAAACGGATCTGGTTATTATTTTCGCTCTGCTGCACTGGCCCGTAGTGGTGGACAAACACCGCACGGGCCATGTCGCCTGTAACGTACAAGTCTGCTCACCAAGTCGCAGATGATCAGTAGGGCAGGCATTCGGAGCCACTAAAAATGAGGAATGCAGATAGCGCCCTGTAGGCTGGCAACATCTGCTGTCAACCATTGGTCCGTAGTCGAGCCATAAACCGTACGGCAAAAGAGGACGCAGAGATGTTTCATGAGTGCTATTTGGACGTGTACTTGCAGTGTTTGCCAGGTAGCACGTCTCTGTGGCACTGGGAGATGGGGACGTTGACGTTTATGAAGTTTCATTTGGTCGTTTCGATGGGAGCAAAAAAGACATGTGCGCAAAGCAGAACGCTCATTCTTGCTCTTCTCTCTCAGAACTTGTGCCGTCTGTTCTGGCATTAGAGCTGGACGAAAGGGCTCTGACTCGGACGCTCGGACCGAGGTGGATATGCGACGGACAGCCTTTGAGTTTTGATTGCATGAAGGAAATAGCCTATTTCCCATGGTATATCGTATCGTATGGTGAAGATCAACAAAAAATTGTCTTTGATGACGGTGTCTACAGTGAAGCCAGAGAGGTGGAACGATGACAATGCCAGTTCAGGCAGCGATGGAATACGGCTCACCATGAGTTGATGCTGTGCCCAAGACATCTACCCGTCCTACGTGGTTGCTTGAGCAACCGAAGCTCAGGTACACACAGTTGAGGTGTTAACTGGAGCCCACGAGTTTGTGCGGA